TATTTATTTTACCATAATAAAAATATTGTAGAAAAAAGTAGCTATAGGTCTACTTTAATTATCTGTTTCTTTTTAGGTGGGTTTTAATAGATTGTGTCTTTCATGGAATTGGTCCAAATGATCCAGGTTATCAGATTTTTGGACAAATCATTGTTTATAATATTCTATTGTTATCCTTTTAATGTCCATGAGGTAAGATATATAATGATCTCTCTTTTATTTTTCATTTTAAACATTTGTGTCTTCTCTCTTTTTACTTGTTTAGCCTGGCCTAATATTTATCAATTTTATTGATCTTTTCAAATAACCAACTTTTGTTTTATTGATTTGCTCTGTTGATTTTCTATTTCCAGTTGTATTGATTTGTCATGGAATTGATTGTATTTCTTATGACCAATATAGTTTTATATTGCTCTTTAGTGTTTTAAAGTGAAAGAATACATCATTGATTTTATATTTTTTCTTGCTTCTGATTGCATTCATGCTGTAAATTTCTCTCCAAATATTACTCTTGCTGTATCTTATAAAATTTCATAAGATGTATTTTCATTTTCCATATAGCACTAATTAAATTTGGAAAAAAAGACAGAAAACAGAAAAAAAGACAAAATATTTTTCTGTGCAATACAGATTAAATGATTTCAGTTACGTCAAATTGTTGACAATTCTTACCAACCTAGGGTCAGTAAGAAACATGAACATTTGAGAAGTTCATAGTCCAATTGAGCTGGTACTAGAAGCTCTCTTTCTCTTTATTTTTGGTTTCTCGTACAACAGATTCTCTGTCTCCAAAGATGGACAACTTTTTACTTAACTCTTTCAGGAGATCTGGACTTTAAGTGGACTTTGGTTTTCATGGAGAAGTCAAGATGTACTCAATTTAACAATGGCTCATTGAGCAGATAGCTGTTAAGGGGTTGTCTACTCATTTTCTAACTTGGCTGTGCTCTACAGTTTGGTATGTGGGTAAAAATGAGGAAGATGTTTTGAAAAAGACAATCTCGATCTCCTCCAAGTTTTTGAAGACCCACTGTGTCTCAGGCATTGCGTTAGGCACTCTGGTGTCTATAAGACTATGGTGATGACAGAAGTAATACTCAGAAAATTCATAGTAGAGTAGTGGATTCCTTTGATGTATAACTATATACCATGAGATGGAAGTCAAAAAAGTTCCACAGGAGGTAAAAAATAAGATATTATAGAAATTTAGAGGAGAGACAATGAGTCCCACTTAGGGATATTAGGAAAATCTTCACAGAAGGGTAGTCACTTGTTGTTGAGCTTTGAAAATTACTCAGAACCTGAATGTGTATAGTAAGGGAAAGGTACTTCTACCTCTGCAAAAATGAGGTCAGAAAAGCGTGACAAATGTGCAGGAAACAACGAATGGCCAGTTTGGTTAAAGAGAGAACAGAAGGAATATGATTGGAAATGTAGCTTGGGACTCTGTGTTTCAAGAAGCTAAAACATAACAAAGGCTAGAGTAGGTAAACTGTATGCCGTGAGCATTAGGGAGTTATACAGGACTAGATATCAAGGCTGCGGTGAGCATCAAGTTGTGCTATAGGAATCTACAAGCCAGAGTATTGGAGAGATATGACAGGAGAGTTTCTCTGACGTTGTGATGGTAATGTGAGTGGGAATGTTGGAGGTGGTTTCCTCAAGACTTGACAACACGCTGGATGAGGTCAGTAAGGGAAATTCAAATAAGACTCAAGACATCATGAACTGGTTGATTGAAAGGATACATGTTACATTAAAATAAATGAGAAAGACAAAAAAAAAGCAGCTTTTGGAAAGAAAATCATATATGGATGTAGGAGATCGGTCAGTCAGGGTGGTGGGAGAAATTGTAGAAGATGAAAACCTTCTTGGAAGGCCGGAAGGTTTTACAAAAGTTTTGGAAAAGGATTTGGCTGAAGGCAGCCAGATTCTCTTATCCAGTGAAACTAATCTAAATTAACTTAGGCCTTCGAACCTGGCCTTTAATCCTCTGTGTACAGGACTACTCTCTCCGGGGAGGGGAGTGACCATGTAAATTGCCCACAAGTGTATTGACTCAAAGCCTTTGTCGTTAAATCTGTACTGAAAAAATGCCCGCAGTGCCAGCTTATCAGGGCCACGGCTGCTGACTCTTTACAGCACCCTCCTTGGTGTCTGGTGTCTGTGAGCAGCCTGGTCCCCTCGCCCACTCTCACTGGATACCTGTATCTGGGAGCATTTGTTCATTGGTCGTTCCGCCAGGGTCTGCGGGTCGGACCCTGCCTATGTAGCTCTGGAGGTATTAAGTGGGGATGCTAATAAAACACAAAGTGTGGAATCATGAGAGGGGAATGTGGGAGAAAATCAGGGGCTGGAGATACAGCACTGTGGTTTTGGTGGTTATCTGAAAGCCCAAAATTTATGGATTTTTCAAAATAGAAATTATGGAGAGATTAAAAAAGATGATTAAAGATAAGCAATGGGTGAAAACCTGCACTTATTGGTTCAGTAAAAACAAAACAAAGGTAGAAGAATAAACAGAGACAAAGGAGGAGTGTTGAATGAGGCAAAGAGAATTTTGTGGCATGCCAATAGAGAAGAGACTTGCAAGGAGAAAGTGCCTGTGAATATCAAATATACACCTTCAAATGATGTGGTGGTTGAAAGAGACAAGAATTAAGAAAAGCCTGCTGTGTCTCACTTTCTAAAGTGAAATATAGAGGCAAAGCAACACTTTGGGAAGAGTGTAGACATTGGAATCAGAGGAACTAGAGTCAGTTCCGATACTGTGTGGTTGAACTATGTGATTGAGAAGCAAATTACAGGACTTAATCTCTCTGAAGCTCAGTTGCCTGACTGTAAAATGGGATAATACCAAACTTCAAGGTTGTATTGAGAATAAGTTTAAAACATCGCCACGTGTTATCTCCATTTATATCTTTATTTCATCTTCTGCAAAGCCGAGTCACACTGCATGGTGGGTTTTCACTTCGTAGACTTCCCTTAGCTCCTCAGGCTGAGCCAGTTATTAGTCACATGTTTACATGCGTGCTACTTTTAAACTTGAATGGTTTCGGTTTTGGGGTTTTTTGTTTGTTTCTTTCTTTGTTTTTACTTAGCACTTAAATCAAGCTAGGTGAAAAAGACCACAGTTACCTCATTTATTTTATTTTTTCCTTTTTTGCTAACCTGTGTGACAAGAACAGTCATCAGCCTTAGAAAGTGCCAGAGCACTTGCTGACTGAGTGCACATTAAAGGTATGGCAGCGATATTTTTCTTGCAAATTTAATAGTCCCCCATTGGTATCTGATGTTTTTCCCAGAATATTCTTTAAAAGAATTTCAGAAGTTCCTAGTACCCTGTCTTTCTTTCAGGATCCCGTTTTTCTCCAGGGGAGCAACATATGCTAGATTAAAAAACCTCTCTCCCAGACCTTCTCTGGCTGTCGGGAGGCACTTGTTGCATGACCTGTGAGGCAGGGATGTAGTATAACCCAAGGGAAAATCTCTCTTATTTAATTTAAAAAAAAAAAAAAAAAACACCAAAAAGCAAACAAAAAAAATAGTTTTCCAAGAAACCCTCTCCAGGAGACTTCTGCTTACCTCTCTGAGATCAAAAACCTTCTTTTCACCACAGTCACTTACCACCTCCTACCAATCTGCATTCTCCCAAGTGTCCTTCACTCCATTTACTCTACCTCATTTTTTTTTTACCGTATTTCTCATGCCAGGACCTGGGCTTCTCCACCAATCTGCACAGGTACATGCTCCCAATTCTCACAGCCATCTATTTCATTCTCCACTCAATTGTTAGTGGGATTTCTGTAGAAATTAAAGAAAATCCTATCACTCCTAAAAAAAAAAAAAAAAAAAAGAAAGAAAAAATAATTATAATAATTAATTCCAAAGCATCAAGCATTGGTTACTCATCCTTCCTGTGCAGAGCTGAATGGAGGGGGAGCAGATGGAGCAAGGTTCCCTCCTGAGGGTCCTGCCAGAGCGAATGGTCAGGAGAGAATGGTGTCAACAGCTTCAGAGAGGCTTATCAGTGTGAATGATGAGCGTATCTGTACCTGGAAGAAGAGCAGGGACCACTTTGTCCATGGTGCTTGGTTTTGTATCCCGTATTGCCTAGCACAAAGCTCTGTTCATAACAGATACTCAGTAACTCTTTGCTAGGCAAATAGTTGACTCAGAGAGACCCTGTTGTAAGGCAATGCACTTATCAGGAAAAGGAATAAAGGGTTGAGTGGAAACTGAAATGGAAGAAATTGAAATGGAGTATCATGCAATCTAATGGTATGTTGGTGGCAAGCAAGTAAACAGGTGTACATCCTGTTATATAGATGTCACAAATAGAATGTTGCATGTATACCAAAAGATAAACATCTTAAAAACCAGGAACCAATGTCAGGAACCAAACCAGAAAAAATGTGCCAAACATGAATCCAAGCTGATGTTAACTTTTATGCAATAATAGAGAGACACCATAGCTTCCACTTATATCTGTTGTTATTAGTAAGCAGAGAGGTATACAGATAAAGTAATATAGTGCCAAATGCCATTTGTATGAAAGTTAACCTTTTGTTTTGTTAGTAAGCAATAGGAGAACAATCAATAAATACTGCCAGCAGTGGTAATGTGACTAGCCTTGCAAATTGGTCTGAGTGGCATGGTGTGTGCAATGAAGAATAGCACTAAGACTCCATACTGATAAAAATGCAAATGAAGAAGTATTTTCTATCAAGAAAGGGTGGTATAATTCCATTTTAAATTATTGCAAGATTTCTTTCCCTCAAGTCCATCTCCTATGCTACATTCAATTTATTGTGTTAAGCTAGAACTCTGTTGTAAGTTCTTTTAAACAATTACATGCCAAATTGACTATGCATAAAGAAAAATGTGTTGGATGGGAAATGAGATCCTGTGGTTTACACATTTCTTTCTTAAAACTCTCTGCTTCAGCTGGTAATTTCCTCGTCCTCTCCTCTCACTCCCTCCCTGTGGTTGCTTCACAGGCCACGGCACATGTTCCTGTGGTCGCTGCATTTGTGAGAGAGGATGGTTTGGAAAGCTCTGCCAACATCCGCGGAAGTGTAACATGACGGAAGAACAAAGCAAGAATCTGTGTGAATCAGCAGATGGCATATTGTGCTCGGGGAAGGGTGAGTATCTCTGTTGGAGCCTGGACTCGATTCCTGTTCTGACACATGATTTGTAGAACAGCATGTAGCAACTGTCTTTCCCAGACTGAACTGTGCATGAAAGCAAACCACTATGTCCTCTGCTGTACCCAACTTGAAGCTTGAAGATTAACCAAATGAAGTTTTGGATCTAAGAAAATGAAATGCATGTGAGAAGATTCATGCAAAAATATCCTTGTATGCAAAGTTATTGCTGAATGAAATAGAATTAATACTTTTATGAAGAAATTAGGACAACAAAATATACCAGGTACTAAATGGACCCAAAAAAGGGGGGAAAAGGCAAAAGAATGATTTTTGGGCTCATGTCTGAAACAACACCGCTCAGAACTGCAGAAAAGTAACCGTTAGCATCTGAGCTGCCCAAAGGTATGACTTTGGGAACTTCTGGGGCTCAATTATTTAGCTGTATGTGGATCAGGGGAGGATTAAAGGTGTGAGAAGACCAAAAGGATACTAAATATTTAGTTTAATTTGGTTTAATTTTTTAAAAAGGAAAGAAAAGCTATGGTGGAGGGTAGTATCCCACAAGTCTGATGAATTTTCTTTGACCTAAAAATCACCAATTGTTCCAAGTGAACATGTGCAGCCTGATATAAGAAAATAGGTGATTGTTCGGCTGGGCACCGTGGCTCATGCCTGTAATTCTAGCACTTTGGGAGGCCAAGGCAGGTGGATCACTTGAGGTCAGGAGTTCTAGACCAGCCTGGCCAACATGGTGAAAAATGCAAAAATCTACTCACTAAAAAAATACAAAAAATTAGCCAGGCATTGTGGCTTACACCTATAATTACAGTTACTTGAGAGGCTGAGGCAGGGGAAGAGCTTAAACCCAGGAGGGGGAGGTTGCAGTAAGCCAAGATCACACCACTGCACTCCAGCCTGGGTGACAGAACAAGACTACATCTCAAAAAAGATCACACCACTGCACTCCAGCCTGGGTGACAGAACAAGACTAAGATCTCAAAAAAAAAAAAAAAAATATATATATATATATATGTAATAATTAAACAAAGAAAACAAAAGCCTGCCAAACAGTTATAACCTACAAGTTGGTTGAAGAGAAGCCACCAACCCAATAAAACATTTGCCACAGAAACATATTCAAGGAAAAAGCAAGCCTTCCCCATCTCCCATCCTACACACACACGCACACACACACACAGAAAAATGGGAAGAGGTTTCCCCTGAGTAAAGAATGCTAATAGATTAAATTTTGAACACCTTGATTTTGATGTTTCTGTATACTATTCTTGAAGGGACTTTAAAATCCTGCCATTGTAGTGCATATGGCATCATCTAGAAAGCCATTGTGTTCTTTGCTAGTGACTGGGGAGACACAGGGAATCTGAAAGATTCTCACCTCATGTCTGGGGAGTGGCGCTTCAAAGAAACTGAAGTTATGGGGCTTCCTAGCTCTTCTCTTCAGCTCAGTATCCTCTTTACACAACAGACACACTTTTTTTTCAGACAGGGCACAGCTCTGGCTGAAGATTCATTTACCCTCAAATGCTTCTGTTGGTCAGGATGACCATGTGAATAACTTTCTGAAGAAGATAGCAAAGCAGAAGTGTACTAGAGACACTGAATCCTGTTGCCAAAGAACCACACCAGTGAGGCTGCCACACACATAAGGGAAGGAGGTCTCTGAAGCAAGATGTGCCCTCTGTCCGCTAAACAGTAGCTTTTGTTTTGCCTCGTACGCAAGACCAATGCTATCGGGTTGAAAGAGCCTTTTTGGCAAAACTTCAGACATCAAAGAGGATGGATGCTGTGACTATCTGTGGTGCCAAGAAGGGGGATGAAAATGAATGCAAACATGTTCACTTCAACAGATGACAGCGTCCTTGGTTTCCAGGAATTCTGTGTTCAACACTTGTGTTTATAATGCTCAGGCAAGGAGGCCATGCCTTCAACCTAATGCCATTACAGCAGGCAGGTGGAAAATGAGTTTAAAGCAATCGCTTTGTGCCTTGTTTGTTCTCTCATTAATTCAATCTAATTTCAAGCCCCAAACAAATCTTCCACCAGTTCTGTTCTTAGGGGGCCTCAGCCCCTAGAAACACCTACCTTGAATTCAAGCTGTGTTGGGAGAACCAAAAAGAAAGAAAGGTTAAAAGGAAGAAAACAAGGGAAAGAATTGGGGAGAAGGAGATTAATGAAGAAAAGCAGAAAAGGAGGCAGTGATGGAATTAAACTGCAAAAGAGAAGTAGAAGGGAATAAAAGAGATGTTATCAGATCAGAAGGGAATGATCTGTGTATAAAAAGATACCAAGAATGAATAGTTTTTGAATCAGATTTCTTTTTCCTCTGAGCATTGCTTCAGACATAGAGCACTTAAGTTTAGATACTTTTTGACTTGGCTTTCTGTAATAGCATTGTCATTGGGATAAGAATAGAAGCTTTTCGCAGAAGCTCTCTGCTGAATGAGGATACCCATATGTATTAAAACACTAGTGTGCTTATTTATATTTGTTTATTTTAAAAGTCAACTAGTGTTTGTGTTTATGTGTTTACTATACTCACTATTGAATCATGAACACTGTCCATAAGCGGGTCGTCCTTAAGACGCGTCCAACTGCGAGTACAGGAAGACCACACAAAGTCATACCCTCCAGGGTAACAAATAGCAGTCTTCCATTTCCTAAACTGAAGGTCATGCAACAAGAGTTGTTTCTTTTCAAGAAATAAACATTCTTATGAAAGTCATTACAGCCCTAGGAAAGATTCTCATCTTTCAGCATCGTAAATGTAGAAAATACAAAGAAAAAATAGGATGACTAAATATTGACTTAAAGGCAGTTCCTCAAAACAAAACAAAGCAAAGCCAAAGAGTCTCTCTAGCTAATGCCTTTGCAAATTGTTTGCTTTGGGTGGTGGCAATATATTCAGAGATCAATGAAGGGTTGAAAGCATATTTGTCTAAACTATTTGTTTATCCTTCAATGGATAGAGAGTTTGGGAGTCTTTAAACTCAAAAGGAAATATGAAAGCTGCCCCAAGGCTGCACATTTTGACATTCATGTTAGTGGACGGGCCTTCGGACTTTTGGCAGCAGCTGATTGTGATCTCCCTTCTTTTCTCCCATTATGGAGACATCATTGTTGGATTATCGATGAAGAAAGTGGATAAAACCAGGATCACGAACTGTGATGTATGGTAGGCACAGAGGATAATGGGGATGCCACAGTTACTCCTGGTTCCAGTGGGGAGCACCACCCCACAACCCACCCTGAGAACCACAGGAAAAGTAACGCATGAAATAGACTAAGGGGCTTTAACATGGTGATGGAAAAGAAAAACCTGTGTCTGATTTTTTGACGGGGGCCATGTATTTCTTGATCAATCTCATAGACTTGTCCAAATATTCTATAACTTTTCTCACATTTGTCAATGGAAGAAGTCCCTCACCCTGACGGTCACAAAAGATATTCAGAGTCCTTCTTTATTTGATTATGAGAGAGATCTGAGCAGTGGGCACAGGATCACCATGGCACATCACTTGGTGGCCTGTACCGACCAAAAGGCTGAAACGTGCACTTCCCATGAGCTGTCAATAAAGCCATCACCTCAGGAGACGATGAAGAAATAGCGTTTTATTTCTTTACAAATTTATAGCCAAGACAATAAATCACTCCATAGAAAAAGTTAAAACAAGATACATTGTTGTGACCTTCATAACAGATGGAGTAGTTAGTACAATAGTGAAAACTGCCTGCTGGGATGTCAGGTTGCAGCATTTTGTCAGGCTTGAATGAAAAAGAAAGTCCAACATTAGTAATGGAATGGGCAACGGACAAAGGTGCCTTGCCCTCAGACTCAAATAGTTTTTGTGAATAACCAAGAGAGATGAGGTTAGTGCCGTGCCGGGTCTCCCCTTAAGCTTAGCTACCTTTGCAAAGTACATGATATAATCCATTGTGGGTTGTTTTGTTCACTTGGGGATTTATTTATTTGGATCCCAGACTACACAATTTTATCTGTGCCTTGATTACTTCAAACTAGATCCAGGTAATCACATCCAATCTTCTTACAGATGCTGTTGTGCGACAATGGCTGTAAACACGTCATTAATTGTCTCCTTAAACTCTCAGTGATACTTCTTGGGTCCCACATCACCCAAAGAAGTCCAGCATACACACTCACTCACCCACCCGTGAACTGTCCCACATCCCCAGAAAGAGAAAGAGTGAAAGATGCTTCACAAAATCAGCCTCAGCCTGGTGTTCAAGTTGCCTCGCTCAATATGTCTGTGCAATCAGACCTGCAGGAAGAAACAGCTTATTGTTAAACTACTGTATATGAAAGTTTTTGCAGGGAGATACATCACAGATAGGCAGATCACTAAAAAGAAGAGTGGATTGAATCAGAGTGAAGTCTTCAGTTAACTGTTAGTTTATTGCCTGTGAGGTCCAGGGCAGTTTCCTTTATTCTCTCTTCCATTCTCATCTTTGAAGGTAAAATTTCATTTATTCCCCCTTTCTATGTCCTAAGATGCCCTGAAGACACATGAGAAAATGTGACTGATTCCCCAGGGAAGGAAGCCAGCAAAAATGCACAGAAGGGAGATGGGAACATTCTTAAGGGTCCTTATATTGAGAAAGAAAATGAATGGATTAGTGGCGCTGTGGTGATGAACTATCTGCCCTAAAACTCCTGCCAAGATCAGCCAGCTGTTCTCTGGCTGGGCTGGGTCTCAGGGGTGTGAGTGGGTCTTGGCCAGCTGAGTTGAACCATTTCTCCCCTCTTGATAGTCATGCAGTCTATGTCTGTCTGATGGAACCCTCTCCCTGTGTGTTTCCCGTTTAAGAGAGGCACAATTTGACCCCTGCTATGGAAGAAAACGGTTAGAGCATTCTACAAGGAAAGTGCTATAATAGGTCCTAATAAGTATTCACACTGTGTTATTACTATATGCTATCTAGTTCTAGTTTCACAAGCAGTAGAAGAATTTCCTACCTCTAAGATGCATTGAGCATTGACAAACAGGAAAGAATAACACAGCTGGGAAAATGCTGACCTAGAAAAGCTACTGTTTCATGACACATACAAAATCAATCCTCATTTTTTATTCTAAGTATTTCAGCGACTAGTAGACTTTCAGAACTGGAATTTACTCATCAAATGCGCTATCCATATATGCCATATTAACTTTAGCTGAGCTTACCAGTTTTCTGAAAATGCTTTACTAGGGCATGAAGCTAAGCATTCCAGAAGCAAGAGCAGTGATTAGAATAGTTCCAGGGCCAGAGGATAAGTTTAAAGATGAAATATAAGATCTTTTCATGAATTGTGACATATATAAAATGATATCCTGGGTGTATATATGACTATTATGGGCGTATAAAATCAGACACTACTTTAGAAACAACTAAAAACAGTCAAATATTTCAAATAATTAATCTTCTTCCACTCATGGAAATAAAACACTAAGTATTGTGCCTTCTGAGGAAACGACTCTGCTAGTCAATGAAGTACTCCATGTGGTCTTTGTTGGCAGATATATCACTATCCATTTGTTAAACAAGCAGCAGAGTGCTGTACATTTTTATGCCTAGAAATGTGAAATAAAGTCTTTAAAATCAGGATAAAGAAATCTCTAAAATCAGAAAATTCGTCACCTTGATGAGATCACAAGGGAACCAGCATCCCTTGCAGACTGACCTGGGAGGAGCACCTTCCTGGGTCCTGAGAAACCACCAGGATGTCAGTCAGTTATTAAAACTGAGAAAATGTGTATATTTTGCTCAAGAGCATGCAAGTCAACCTGGACCCTCAGGAAAACAAGTCAAGACTAAATAGAATTGTGCCATAGCTACTCAAGAAGTTAAAAATAAATGAAAACACAATTGTCACAATATAAATAATTCTGACTGCACTCTTACCTTGAGAAGTGTGTCAAGAAATGGCAAACATTTAATTTGGATTTTGGGGAGTTTTGCAGCTAAAATGCATATACCAGTTTCCCTGATATGAAATATCACATAGTTGAGACACATGAACCTGAATCCTTCCATGATATCTGTGATGACCACAACTCCTTTTCCATAATCACTTTAATCACCTAGGCTGTTAACTCATTTTTAATCACTGTGTTTTAAAAGAAGCACTAATGATTGATTCTTGCCGCTTTTTAATGTGTTTTGAACTTACCAATTCTACAGTTTTGTTAAATATGTCAAAATACTTTTTTCAACTGCACAATCTTTCAACATGACTTTTGACTTAAAAAATTACTGATAGCCACCTTTTAGTAAAGGGAAGTCATGTTTGGAAAGAACAACCAACCCAAGGAAATAGAAGGAAAAGGAAGTCCTTTTTATTTGTTTCTTTTTCATTGTAAAGTCTTTCCTGTTGTCGTTGAGGCAGTTTTTCCATGTAAGGGTTTTTAGCCTGTCATGGAAAGCTGTTTAAACTGAGAGAACTTACTTCTGTGTTGGATACCCTTCATCTTATTTATTTTCTTTTATTTTAAATATATCTTTAATAAAATTTTTTACTCAGTAAATAAAGATATTTTAAATAACCAAAGAGGAAGTGTTTTAATTAGGTAGGAGGAGAAATGGGTGGAGGGAAAAAGAGTTGAATCCAGAGTCTCATAAAAGATGAACTTTGGGAGTAATTTGAGCTATCCTAGATTATGACAGTCCTGAGGATACGGTCTCACGAGGCAAATGTACTGAGTGACTGTGTGCACTTTTAGCACTTTAATTAGCCACCCAATATGCAGGTGTGCTCCTACTCCGAGAAAATCATGTGAACGAAAATCCAAAATCATAAGCACAATACTTTAGTAGTTGTTTTCATTAGAAATGCAACCTAATTTAATACAATTCCCTATTCAATCCCTTTAAAGAAGAGGCACTTTAAAAATATGATTCAATTCAGGGGGAAAAATCTATTTTTGAATACTTTTTTGGAAGACCATCTATAAGAATCAACCCCATCCTGCTCTCATTGACATTTCAACCAGACTGGGCCATGGGACATTTGCTCAAGGCTAATTGCAACTGTCTAGATCCATAATGAAGGCTTTCCTGGGTGACCTTTATGAATTACAGTAAGTAAAGCTCCCCTCTGAGAAACCAGCCATTCAATAAACTTTTACCTTTGGATGATGGGTTATTAGAAGCCTGTTGTCAGTGTGTCAACGAGGTTGTATTTGAGATGGAAACCTTTAGTTATACAGTGATGGCGAGTAATAGCCTTTGTAATTTCAGGTTCTTGTCATTGTGGGAAGTGCATTTGTTCCGCTGAGGAATGGTATATTTCTGGGGAATTCTGTGACTGTGATGACAGAGACTGCGACAAACACGATGGTCTCATTTGTACAGGTGCAGTATTAACCTTTTCTAATTGCTCTATGCCACAGTTTGTTATAGAGCTAAGGGACACTCATCATGCAATGCTTTAGGTGGCCGGACCAACAGGGCCAACTGTGAATATGGCATATCTACCAAAGGCAAAGTGGGCATTTGGGAAAAAGCCCTCACGTTATTCCTGGGCGTAGAAGAATACAAGAGAACGAAGCTAAATTTTGTGATTATTTGGAATACTTCCACAAAGTAACCTCCCCCCCTCAAACTCACATGTATCTAGTTATATATTGAACACAGAAAAGAATTTTCTTGGCACATTTTACTTTGAACATGGTATAGGGAATGGAATATTCTTTTAAACAGAATCTGGGTACCACTAGTTGGTGTGTTGGATGCTTTTAGGGAACTGGATGTGTGTATGGGGGAGAGGTATAAAGAGGGCTCAGCTGTGTCATAGCCACTGCTATCCTAATTTATTGAGTCCCTCATAATTGATTATGAATTCATTTGTTTTGCCAAGTTACAGAGGAAACAGAGACATGTATACTTGTCCTCCTCAGCTCTAGCTGAAGGTAAAAGATGACTCTGAGTGTCATTAAGTTAGACCCTTGCTTTCTGCCCATCCTTACTACGTAAGACTCTCTTTGCTGATTACTTGGCCTGCCTCATGTTATGTCAAAGAGCTTTATGTTTTTCAGTATTTATTCATAAGTCAGACATAACTTGCTCTCCTAGGGAAACAAAATTGTCACCTAAAAGCCTAGGTGGAGTGATACACGATGGTTACTATCTGGTTGGTAAAGGGTGGCACCAAATAAATGCCACTAATTGTTTGAAAGATTAGATGTCTCACAGCTGCTTAATAAAATGTAGTAATAACATCATTGCACTGTAAGAAAATCTACCAAGGATGAATGAAATGATTTCATTGTGGACACTTGTGATTTATAATAGCATGTTTAAATTTGGCACGTTTTGATCATGTTCATGATACCCATGTGTATTTTATTGCAGGGAATGGAATCTGTAGCTGTGGAAACTGTGAATGCTGGGATGGATGGAATGGAAATGCATGTGAAATCTGGCTTGGCTCAGAATATCCTTAACAATTACACGAGAGAGGTCTGGATTCTTGTTTTTTCTAGGCCATTAGAACATTTAAATGCAAAGGAAATCCTGTATAATCACCACTAGGACAGGTTAAAAAGACCATTGTATATTTTTCTATTTCTGAATCACGAAGGAAATCTGAGTACCTATTAGAAATGAGTTATGCAAATTCAGATGCAAATAACACTAGAAAAAAATGTTTCTTCCATAATTAACATAAGTGGTTCCTAACGAGAGCAATTTTTCCACCCAAAAGACATTTGGCAACATCTACAGACAATTTTGATTGTCACACTGGGTGGGGTGGGGAAGTACGTTGTAGGCATTTGGTGGGTAGAGGCCAGGGATGCTGCTCAGCATCCTGCAGTGCACAGGACAGCCCCCAAACAGGGAGTTAGCCAGCCCCATGTGTCAGTGGCACCCAAATTGAGAAACATTGAATTATATGGCTATTAGAAATCCACATTCTTACACAAGAAAGACCATATTAGAATCTAAGGAAAACATGCATATTCACATTAATCAATCGATCACATTTTTCCAGAATTCCATATCAGTCAACATTTTAATATGGGGACAATGAAGACAAACACACAGGAGGTAGAATATCAGATTGGGGCTGGATCAAGGGCAAAAACTGGTCATTAAGTCATTTGACATTAAATCATTTAGCCACTAAGTCAATTTGTCTACTCTCACTTTAAACTCATCGAAGAAGATTCTCTTAAAGAAAAAAATTATGAAAAATGTACAATTTAACATTTTAAATAAATAGTGACAGAAGTTGTTTATACTCTGTGTCAGTATATATTTACCTGCTGATTATTTAAAAATGAATTGTTATTTAGGGAGATCTATTTTAGCTTTCTAGAAATAAGATAACACATTTTAAAAACTGGGCAGGGGTTATATGTACAAGAAATCTGACTTTTTATTTTAATTTATTCCATGGTAATGTGGCCTTTTAAAAAGACAATATTAAGTTACATATATAATGGGCCTGAAGTATGCATCCATTTCCCTTAAAATACTTTCTTTTTTCTAAGGATAACTTACTGGAAACCTGAGGTCATGCAAAGAAGTCAAGAAGAGAAATACTGTGATAAAATGGCACCAATCTCAGAAGCTCACAAAGGACCAAAAAAAATCTAGAAATGGCTTAAATAGAAATTACAAATATTCACTCAGTGATAGGAACAAAATGTTTATTTTCTTTATGGTGAAACTTTGCTTTGTATGAAATTCACATTGAATTATGAAAGTGTACAATAATTGGGACTTCCCTTACATATTTACAGGTAAATCTACTTATACACATTAGTTTAGGCAACCTGTAATTATTTAGAGCTAAAAAAAACCACTTTTTTTCTAAAGGTGAATTATTTTGTAAAATCCTAGAATAATGTAGCAAAATCATTTCTGTATTACTTTAAAATGAAAATTTTTACTTGGAAATTTTATTTTAATGATGTAAATATTCTAGAGTCATGGCTTAAACTTTATAAGTCAAATTTCCAAAAATAAGGAAAATATGCATCCACTGAGTTACTTAAAAATTTAATATTGAAAATTATTTTAAGAGAACATTTAACTGATGCTGAGTTTTATAGTCCTAAAAATGTTCTCATAATGTAATAGATTTATAAAATTGTTATCTCTATCCTGAGATTAAGGAGTGCAACCATATTGTAGTTCTATTATTATGTAAATTGATATATCTTTTTTGTAAAATGAGGGAAATATAAGTAGTCAATAAATAATGTAGGTTATATTCTTTCCTCTTCACTACCTAAACATTTTAAGCTGCAAACAACCTATTATTATTGTTTTGTAGCAATTTTGATGACGTATTTGCTGATGCACAGACAGTGGAATTCATTATATTATCTAGCTATCGTAATACAAATGACCTTTGGATTTCCCTACCACAGCGGTTATCCTCCTATCAAGGACCAGAAAGTTAAACTTTATGGACCACATACATCCCTGTCTCATATTCTTCTTTGTTGGTTTCTGTTTAATACTTTAAAGCTGTAAAAAAATAAAAATTCCTTCTGAGCTCCCAGGCCGTACAAAAACAAATTAAGGGTGGATTTGGCTAGCAGCTGGGCAGTACTTTGTCAGCCTCAGCGCCACTGGAACTGTCCTTGATTCTCTACGGCTCATCAGAAAACCTCAGGTGTGTCTTATTTTTCTTATAATCCTCTGTATGTTATTATCCTTTTTATTAACAACAACAACTACAACAAAAGTGCTGCTCTTTTTCATAGTCTCATGTAAGAAGAGTGTCAAAAATGTCCTCAGCATTTGTTTTTTCAGGAAAAGAATTTAGATATTGGAGAAATTAGCATACCATAAAGTTCAAAATGTGACTCATCTAAAATTTAGGACAAAGATGAAAATGTTGTCAGCTCTGTTCTAGTGTTCATTTAGTTGGAAACCATAGTACTGGAACTGTATTATAGCATAAGTTTCATGGTACCTAAACTCTAAGGAATGCTTTTTCTTTGAAAACAGAAATATTTTATTTTTACTTATTTCTATCCCCTGTTTCTTTGTGTGTATGTGTGTGTTTGTGTGTGTATGTGTGGTTTTGATGCCAGCAATGCAAACACCAATATATCTGTTAAGAAGTGATTGAATTTAGATTGGAAAAAATAAAATAGTTACATGTAAAAACATAGACTCTTTCCTTTTTAAATATGATTTTGTACTTTTTCAACTCTACGATAGAAACTCCCTCCTAAAAACAAGCAGGGCGAGAACAAACTTGTAATGGGTGAGAGAAAAGAAGCAAATCTCATTGGCTTTTTCCTGTTTTTAGGAAGTTGCTGTGGGATTAATGTCAATTGGAAGAGATGCAACAAGTTTAGAGAAGGTGTTGGCACTAACCCTGCTTGTTTGGCAAATCATCACTGAGGTATTCTACCCAATTACTTTTTCAAAAAAGTCAACTAAAGTACTAAGTCATGAGAGGAGAGCCATTATACCCATTGTCTTTCTGGGCTCCTTGAGTTTATCTGGATTCCAACAGCACTTTGGAAGTACTGCCCTCCAGTACTTCAAATGCAAATACAATCTCTGCCAGGAGATATTGGAATTAGACTTAGTGAAAACCAAGAAAAAAGAAAAAACTAAAATATAACTCAGGCTTAGTTTGCAGACTCAACTGTCAATACTTTGAAACCCTACTCCGTATTCAAGAGAGTGAAAGGCCCTATGTGTCACATTGTAGGCTAAGAAACTTAAGCTATGACTACTATTTCCCTCAAAGTAAGACAATGTACATCCTGGATTTTGATATGCCTGCATTTTGGAAAAAAAATATTGAGGATTTAGCCCACTCGCTTTCCCTCGATATAGCCTTGTTCTGAACTAAAATGGAAAAAAAAATTTCAATTATTTTTTCATCTTCGTCTCAACTGGATGTTAGTCAATGTGGTCTCTTCTTGATTATGTATCAAATGTTAATGATCTATATAATATTAGGGGGATAATTTTAAATGAAGTGATACATGTCTAACTTAAAGAATAAGAAGTTTTTGGTTTTTGCTTTTAAAGACAACCAAATCTGATATTGTTCATCCTGATAAAAATAACTTTTAGTGCTTAAAGCATTAAGCAAGTGGCTAGGTATGATAAAGAATCTCTGCTTGCTCCCCAAGAGGCAAACTATTAGAAGAACTGGAGCAGGAGTCCTTTGGACCCATTGTGTATCTCTTTAAGCCACTCCTACCCAAAAACATTCAGGACAAGCAAACATTTAGAGCAGGAATCTCCAAATTCTTCAGGATTTGTAATGAAATAATGCTCAATTCCATTTTGCTCTTTACATAAGGTGGAGAATTTGCATGTCTTCTCTAATTTTTCCAAGTAAAGTGGTAGCAAAATGTTTTAAAAAGCAATCTTATATTAGAAAACAAAAATGTTGTCACTTGAAATATCAAAACAATTGACATTTCCGAGCATTGTTGAGGGACTGGCAAAGCAATCAGCGACTATAACAAGTCAGTAGAAATAACCCTCCCACACCAGATATGCATGCAGAAGGAATGGAGTATTATAGAGACTTGATACAATGGACATATGCACATGGAGGTACAAAACACACGGTCTTTAAATACAAATGAATTCCATCAGATTTACTATACGGAACATCAGTAGTGACAGATTGCACTTACTTAATAACAGCAAACTTAATTTCTGAGGGGAAAAAATGGTGAAGTCTTATCCCAAACAAATAGCAAGAGAGGTATCATCAAAGAGCTAAAATTTTCTTTGGCATGGTAAAGGGGGAAATTGAGTTTACCAACTTATTTACATGACATTTCTCTATATTGGTGGGTAATGCAATGCCATTTTGTTACATAAAGTTGTTTGATGTTTTTGAATATGCCTTCATATAAATATTTTATTCAATATGTTGTATTTGTGAATACAACAAATGATATTAAACACAGAAACTGTACAATGCAGACAAACTCTTTGTATGCAGATTAGCAATACATACCAACAGTTCTTGATACACAGGTACCTACTACATGCAGCTCATCAGTGCTGTCCTCTTCCCATGCAACAGGTGAGACCAGACACAAAGTAAATGACCTAACTCAATTACAAATAACAAGGACCCCTCTGCAATATGTCTAAACATATATTAGAAGAAAGTATTTGACATCCTTCATAGGGATAAATGCCCTTATAGACACCCCATATATAAAACACAACAGAGATGCACATTTACATAAATCTCAGTCATTTACAAAAATAAATCTTAATTTAAACCAATAAACAGACTTGCAGGGGACAAAGAAACCAGCAAGTAGGGCTGATTATCAGTCACAAAAACAACTGGGGCTGTTTGCTGTGTGTGTGTGTGTGCACGTGTGTGTGTGTGTGTGATGTGTTGCTATAAGTAGTGTCTATAAGCCCATTTGATTGGATTACAAGTTAATTACTCATAGTTGGCCACATATTATGGGATATATGTTTTCTGAAAATAATTGGTTAATGGAAGTTATTTTAAGTGATCCTGTTAAAAAACAATAGGCTTCAAAATGACATAACACCAAATCAAAAATGACCAAAGGAATCATTTTGTTATATTTGTAATTTAGCATCATTGACAATAAATCTACTCAAACATTCTGCTAACTTTTTATTTATTCAAGTAGAATCCAATATGAAAATGAAATAAGCATAAACAGTTAAATTTATACTAAACCTTTAATCAGCTAAGCAGGCCAGAATTTTTTAATGCTGGGCAAGGGCTGTCATGAAGATTTATGAAAGCAGTGACAAAATAATTTCCCAATAAATACAGTGCAGATGGGGAAAATGATGACTGGGTCATCCTCCCACATAGAAAGAATAACAAGAGGCCAGTACATTGATCCCACATATAATTTTCAATAAATGAGGTTCAGTTTGGTCTCAATGAACTCTTCTGAGAAGAAAACATTGAATTTTATTAGGTGTACACAGAGTTAACAAATATATTCCCAAACAGTTTAGTATGAACCCCTTTAGATCCAGTATTGAACATTTTGCATGGAATCTTCACTGTGTAGTCAACTGTTCCTGGCCTTTCTTGGTAGTTGTCTTCCCTAAGCTCAGAGTTCAAACAGTATTAAATTAAAAAGGAAATTAAGAATGCAAAATAAAACAAAAGGAAATAAATGGAATGGACCAAAATCCTGATGGATGGATGTGTTGGTTTGCCTTTATTTTCATCTAGGATAATTCAACAGACGGTATTCTGAGATCATGGCAAGGCACCTCTAACCCAGCCACTGGGCAACAGGAGTCCCAAATGCTGAGTTAGAGGCATGTACTGGTGAAATACACAGTACCGGACTCAGCATGCTGAGCTAAAAAAAATATTTTTCCTAAGATGTCCAGTTTAAAAACTTGTCATTAAACACCAAAAATATTAAAGTCTAATTTATAACTAACGTTTGCATTGCTGCTGCAGGAAAGAACACAACAGCCGTCTTGCCCATGCTCTGCTGAGTATGAGGGGAACGCAGCCAGAAACGGGGATGGCATTAAGTTTGGTTCATTAAAAACAGGACGGAGTATATCTGAAATGGATTTAGGTAGCGCAATTCTTGTAGGTTGTAATTATAGGTTTTCCTTTTTTTTTTTTTTTTTTCCAAATAATGAGAATTAATAGATGAAAAATGAACCTTAATCAGGCCTACAAGGCCTACAGAAATCTTTGGACCCACTTTCTCAAAAACCAGTGGGTCTTGCTCGCTGGGCAAGGCAAATGTTACCATTACCAGTAAGCTTGTGATATGTATAAAACACACACACACAAAGAAACTAGAGGGGGATGTCAAACACATATCATAGAGAGCTTCCCTGGATTGTGTTTGAGCCATTTTCCCACCCAGGCAATGCCGACCTTGGGAGCACAGTATCTGCTACTGAACAGAGCGTATATGTGTGTTTAATCCATAGTGTGAGCCAGAGACAACAATCTTAATCTTTATAGATGCAATTTGTAATAATAGGTTTAGAAGGCTTCCTGATTCCCTGATTGCTCTCCGACCTAAGCCAACGGCAACATTTAAGATTTAGAGGAACAAAATCCCTGCAAAAGGTCACAGACAGTGGAGCGAGCAGCCCTGTAAAAATGGGAAGAAGAGAAATCCATAATAGCACAGGTTTACAGCGTCTAACTAGAAATTACTCAATATTATTTGTGTGCTACAAAATTGAACTTAAACACATAGATTTCGCTGAAACAGGACTCAAAAAGGATTATGGGTAGCTGTCAGCAGGCAAGGTATCGAGTGTACTTGTGAAGTATGTCATTCACATGAAGTGTCACAGTCACAGAAAAGATATTAAAAAGGCATTCCATATCTGGTAGGGCATTCCATGGTCTGAGTTTAGCTGGTTATCCAGGTGTCTTCTTGTTGTGGGGGGCGCAACAGGTTGAGATTTATCCACTTGCAACAGAGAAGTTCGGAGACAGCAAAGAGTAAGCATTAGCTTACTTCCTGCTGCTCTTCAGCCACGGAGCAGGAATGTCTGGTGAGGATAAATCACTCAACTGTGCTCAGGACGAATAAGTCACAACACCTGTGAGGATCTGGCTATGTTGTCTTACTCTTGTTGACTGGTTTGCCTCCATTCATTATTGCAGACGCACTTGTGCTTTTACTTGGCGTCACCCCAGGCTTCGGGACCGTTTCCCCAACATCATGCAAAGATGGTTCTCGGTACATGGCAACTAGTGATGGGAAGAAAGGAGGAGGAAAAGCAAACATTGCTTGGTTAGGTGTGAGAATGGTCCATCCATACATGCACAGACCACTGCAGTTTGCCCATCTCTGTTTTCCCTGAAGTAAAGCAATTCCATTGAGAAGGAATTCCTGTGGTAACGCAATCATTTCCAGCCCGCAGAGGACATTACTCCCTTCACATTCTCTGGTCTGTATACCTAAAACATGTACATGAGTGTGCATGGATTTCTGTCTAGGACAGAAGGTTTAAATGGGAGCTATGGCCTCTTTGTGGGTCCATGATGTAAAACACACACACACACTCTATAGGAAAATGACAGGCATTTAACTTCTCAAAAAAGAAAACTCAGACTTCCCTTCCACTGCACACTAATGTCAACACCTGAACTTCTCATTCACTTTAATCAATCTTTGCGAGCTGCGGTATTTACATCCTAGAACATTAAATTACTTCCTCTCATGTGGTTCAAAAGCAACATAGTCATACTAGTGTCAACTTCAAAGCTACACAAAATAATAACAAATAACTCTCTTCCCATAAGCCAGAGCCTTCAGGAGATTATCATTTCAATGTTCATTTCCTACAATCATGGAAAGAGACCCTTGAGCAGCAGAAGGCAACGCCTCATTTTCTGCTACGTTATTAAAAATCTAATAATTGACATGATATAGGGGCAGAAACAGAATGGCAAGACAGCAACTGAAACTATCTAAATAAAAACTGAGGAATTATCTAAATAGTGTCTGGTGACATAATCACAGTAGTTCATGTGGCTTTTTAGAAAATGATTTTTGCAAGTCCCAGGAAAGGACATATAAGAGTGACTAATGCTTGGGGAAAACTAAGGATTAAAGTCATCTGCCATCAGGAATACAAGTGCATTCAAGCTGCCCAAACTGCTTTTCAGGTTTTGGAAAGTTTAAGGTATTTTACAAAGAGCTCTTAGGTTTAGTTAAGATGAACTACCATATGCATTCTCTATGTTCAAGGGGGTAGAATGTGGCCATTAGTATCAATGCGGCACGTGAGTTTTCATCAGCACACATACTTAAAACTGCAAATATACATAAGGCTTCTATTAAATAACTTGCTAAGGTAGCAAAAGGAACTAATGCGTATTCTGAAAGCACATTCCAATCCCTCACTCCTACTATTAATTAAATTAGGAGAAAAAGCATGAAGCATTGACCTTGATTTTCTATGTAGTGAAGTTGTATCAAAGATATGAACGCCCTAGAGTACCAGTAATCAACCAGATACTTAATTTGTCCTAACATTTCCAATAACATAATTTATATTCGGTATGGGTTTTGAAAGTTTGAAATTAATTTTCCTCTATCAAGTAAACAACGTGATAACCTCTGTCATTATAGTACCTACCCCCTTAACTCTTTTTAGAGTACTTCTGCTAATTTTTTGAAATGAAAACTATTGTTTCTTTCTCATATATATATGTATATATATATACACACAAAACACATAACAAACACATGAGTGAAATATCAAATACCATTCTATACTACATCATTATTGTCTCAGATATTTTCTATAGGATATGCAAAATAACTGGTTCCCAAATTTTACCTCGGTTAAATGACATAACAGCCCTTTTGGGTTTTGTTACATTTCTGCAGCTAAAAGGTAAGGTTCTAAAAATCTAGTCAATTCTTAACTGTTAACAAAACATAAAATGAGTGAAAAGAGATAAAGCAAGGTGGCAAATAAACCATGATCTTGTTAGAGCATCTGTGGCCTTATTTTTACATTTTTTATTTGCATTTAAATATTGGTGAGTCCAATGTTATCAAAATTTATTTAAAACAATGAAAGTGTATCATTGATGTGTTTTTTGGGAGGTACAGGGAAATCCTCTAACTTCTTTCTATTCTAATCATCCTTATGATCCACTATATACTGAGAATAATTCACTCATATTACAGACTATGGAATAATTTGTCTTTTCCTACATAGGCCCTGGTGGCTGTTTCGGTTTCAATAAATTGTTCTACAGAAAAATATAATTAAGAATGACAGTAAGTCAACATCATTGAAATTATAAAAGTAGTATTAGCCAACAAGAGTGATTTTCTGAATTTAGGCAAACTGAAACTTAATTATACCCTCACAGATGATGAAGAATTGACTGTTCAAATTTTTTAATTTTTTTATTTCAATATAGAGAATATGCATTATGAAAACAATATGCATTTTCTCTTGATGGCTAAGTCTTTCCTGTAGGAATAAAACACAAAAAGAAAAATGAGCTGTCCAAGCTAGCTTAAAATATTTATTGAGTTATTGTAGATCTGATCTTCTGCAAAAGAGTAAACAAAAGTACTTGAATAGAAAACACATGTGAATAGCCTAAAATCAAATATTTTTGTAATTTTCAAATGTTACATAGATAAAAGTAAATGACACTTTTGGCAGAATAATTAATGAGAGAGGTGCAGATGTTGTTGATTAATTAAAAAAACTTTGTAGCCTGCTCTTTGGGTATCTGAAGTAAATGTGAAGTTTCTATTCATTTGGCATGGATGACCAGATATATCCCTTCCTGTACGCAAATGAATGTGGATAAATTATTTTAGTAAAAGAAGTAATGCTACAACTGTATACAGTGAAGAATTACGCAATTTGAAAGCAGATGTGTAACATCAGTGAGTTTTTTAAGAGTCAAGCTATTATCTCTTAATTTTCTGTAATTATAATAATTCACAAGTAAGTAATTACTTTCACCTAGATAATATCAAAATGGAAAACACTTTTGATTCCACACTCAAAACTTAGTTTTTTCTAATATACGTATTATCTTTTTCTAATACACTTATCACAGGTTTGTATCATTACATATTTAAAATTGTTTTAATTAATTAAATTATCTAAGAGAGTGGCTGTAGCAGTGAGGATTTGAGACACTGGAGGTGGCAGAGAAGAAATTTTTCCTGGTACACATACATTTGCAAATACGGTAAAGTATATAAGGGGCACAAATTCTAAATGAATAACTTAAGTAGGCATCTGTGCAACCATCACCCAGATCAAAATAAATGACATTTCCAGCATTCGTGAGGGTTTCTTATAGCCTTGGTAGACCTATCAATTTGAAAAATAAAATGTGTAATAAGTCTGTGTAATAATAATGCATACATAATACTCACCTTCCAATGGCTTGGGTAGAAAATGAGCTGCTGGTTTGGTTTTCTTTACTCTGTTCCCTTTCATAGCTTGCCCTTCCTTGTTTAATCCCAAAAACCAGGCTCTACCAGATTCCTGTTGTCTGTACAGCATGGATGAGTAGATTACATAATAATTTTCAAAAACAGATTCTTTAAACTTGCATTCAGGGGTAAAAAGTTCCTGTGGAGAGAAAAGGAAACAAAGGTTAGAGGAAGGAACTTGATCTTCACTGTACATTCTATTCATTCTCTAGAACGTTTCCCAGGATGGTGAAAGAGTCCTTTGGCATGGAGGACCAGATATACCCCTTCCTGCACACAATAATTGTCTATACATTTTTAAAATATACAATAAATTGAGAAGAATCTGCTACTATTGAGAATATATAGAAGCAAAAGTATATCATAAGAAAACAGAAGATATGAGCAAACTAAAGATTTAACTTAAACAGAAGACAATTCAACCAGAGTATAATCAGAAAGGGATCATTAAAGTAGCATCAGATATTCACAATAAAGTGAACCAAACAAAATACACATTTCAGGTATTTTATAATCCATTTTACATGTTTCCATAGGAACAGTGATACGATACTCTTAACAGCTGCCAGTTGTTCCTTGGATCACTGAAATCGTAGGGTGATACATTTTACTTCCAAAGGAACAAACTGAAACCTCAAACTAAAACCATGACAATCAGCTGGCTTACTTGCCAGCCACTAGAGCTATTGTTGTATACCAGATGAGGTCAGGTGTCATGTTAGCTGGTCATAGTGACAGGAGCTGAAAATAAATCAATGGGGCTCCAAACCTTGAACTCTTGAAGATAAACATGAAAAGCTGCTCCAACTGAAAAACCACCCAGCATTTTCGGAAAGCATACAGTTTGTTAAATACTACTGTGCTCAATGCCATGGACTACATTAATTGATGAGCAGCACAAAGCTTGCTACTTTACAACTATTATTAATGTCAGAAATATTCATAGCTGATTTTTATATACTTCTTACTTTGGGATGAATAATAATGAATATAATCCCATGCAACATTAATAAAAAAATTGATAAGGGTACAATCTACATATGCATTTTTGATAGTCCTCTATTAAAAGTAAATTTGAAATTCAACCTGTCTGGTTATAAACCATGAAAGACACTTAGCTAGTTTTAAATAGGTCTAACACTGTGCTATTCTATATGTATATAAATATAGATGGAAAATAGATCCTTACTGTCCTTGATCTTTTTAAAAATACCACTGGACTAAAAAATATACACAAAGTTTTCATTTTTAATAGATTTTATTATTGCAGAAAATAACAACTTGTTTTTCTTCTAAAAATGTTGTATACCCATTCTGAAAAATATTCCTTAGGGGCTAAAAACTAAAACTTTAACAGCTTGGCTTTATACTAACTGTAATTAGGAACATGACCTAATGTCATGTAGAAATTTCCTTTCAATATTTCCCATAAAAGTGTGAATTATCAAATGCTGTCTCATGCAGGAGACAATTTATTCAGTGTGCTACATAACTTTAATTCACTGAGAGCTAATAGTTTTCCAAGGGGAACAGGCTTTGTTAGTGGCAGATGCTTTTCAAGACAAAGATGATAGTTACAATGATCAATTCGATGAAATTGCAATAGCCAAATGACAGATTTAGCCCTCTCCTGGAGCAATTTATGGAGATCTTTATTTCTTCTTGATGATGCTACCTCAGATTAGAATAAGACCCCATCCAAATAAATGCTCTGGCTTTCCACTGAGTTCTGCATCTCCAAATATCCTATTAGTTTTCTCACTAATAAATGACAGTCTCACTGAGTCAATGTCCAGGCCATGTGCCAGAAAAAAAAGATTGATAAAACAGTACATGTTCATGCATTTATGGTGAGTAAAACAAAATGGAAAGCTATAAATCTGGCTTCTCCCCAAGAGACTAATAAATATATTGGTTGAAACTATACCTTCTAAAACAAAAGGATTAGACTTTAGCATTTCACTTGTCTTTTTACTGAGACAGGCCAGGGCATATAAGCATATTGTTTACGAGTTAAAAACCTATCTCAAAATCAGCTATGAGTGAGATGGTAAGAGCCGACCTAGTGGATAACTTAGAGGAAGTCAGAGGAACCTGGCTCCGCCTCCTGGGCTTCAGGTGTCTCTGCCTAGAACCTCGCTCACTGATGCTCATCCTGTTGCTACAAACACCAGAAACGTAGGTCCACAGGATTCCCTTCTGATCATCACTGCCTTAATGTCCAAAACATGATGAATGGTGCTTGCAATACCATCAGCAACTTAGGGATGTATTGTCTCCATTCTGAATCCACTATGTTGAATATGAAAGAGAAAAAGATGCTTGATGTAGAGGAAGCAGTTTATTCTCGGTGGATACCTTAAGGACTTCTGACACTACATCTTTTCAGATGAAATGTTCACATCCTAGGACTCTAAGGAAGTCAATTCCACAACACCTTTCTGTGAGCTGTGCCCGTGACTTCACAGATAGGTGATTCTTTCTGTCTTCCACAACTGAGAACTACTGCCTTCAGTTGCTTGTGATAGTGGAGACTGGTATATTTTCAGCCTTCTTGTTTGTGGCTAAATAATTAATGCACACACACATGCACATGTTACATTCAAAGATGTTATTGTCTAATACATTTTCTCAAGACTTTTTGAGAAGTTAATCTGTTCATCCAATATTGAAGTCTCAACCCCAGCGTTTCCTGTAGAACCAATATAACCAATGGAAGTTGAGGTTAGTTGCTATTTGGTGTCATCAGTGATACACTTTCAACGTGTAAATGGGAAGCAGTGGAGCAGATAAACATCACCTGTGGAGGCAGACCGTAGGATTCAACCCTGACCCCACTCCTTACTAGCTGTGTGTTCTTGGGGAAATTACTTAATCTCTCTGGGCTTCAGTTTCCTCATCTCTAAAATGAGGACAAAAATCATAGGGCAGTAAGGTAGGTAGGGTGATCGAGTGAATGAATACATATTACACATTTAGAAGAGAACTTGGTATACAGTAAGCACTCAATAATTATTCTTTAAAAGTTTCTCATTATTTATAGTCAAAAAATATATACTGATCAGTTACTTCAATTCTGTGAAAATCTCACCAAATCAAAAGTCAGCTACACAATCAGTCAATGAAAACAGTTTTACACAAAATATTGGATTCAGCACGAAATATACCAAGATAAATAAGAGTAGTCGTACATTTCATGGAAAAATGACAGAACAATATATTTGTTATGAGTGACTTATCTATAAAATACTACAGTGAGTATATGGGGAGTAAATGGTATTGTGAAAGGTAAGAGGTGGGAAATGGCCTGGTACATTTGGAGAACTGTAAGTAGTTCATCACTGAGATACAGGCTTTGTGGGACAGAATTGGAGAATGTTGTGGATGGGAAGATAGGTTTGAGAAATGTAATAAGGGGTCTTGGACACTCTAATAAACAAATTATAGATCTCACTTATAGATCTCTTATAAGTGAGAGGAAGACATGTTGAATTCCTGAATAGGCAAGGGAATAATAATATGGCCTGATTAGTATTTTATAAATACAAATCTGTTGTCAGTGTGGAGGATGATTTCGAAAAGTTAAGAACATGTCTGTACTGATGTTTTCAACCCTAATCTCTCACAAGATTGAACCTGAAAGTTGTTTGTAGAACATGAGTGTGTGTGTGTTCACGTTAATAGTTAGTATTAATATTATAAATAGAGAACCAGAACACACAAAGTAAGGGGAGAAATATTACCAGGATTATGACACACTGACTTCTGAACTTTCTGGTAGCCAGGACAAAAAGAGAAAGACTATATGCTATAAAAATTATTCAAGAAAGAAAATATTTTCTTTTTTGAAAATGAAAAGTTTCTTGGCATGAACTTTTCAAAGGTACTTCCTTATAAGGGACCTAAAAAAGTGACATTGACCAACATAAACAAAAATGCTCCTGAGAGTAATTGCAGTCATACTTTGTGCTTCAATCCTGCAGTATGCTTTAGGAAGACAGATTGCAATGAAAATGTCCAATAGGTAGAACTACTTCAAGTCCAGTAGGTGGAAATAATTGTAATTGATGAGATCTCCAGGGATAATGTGCACAGCACAGGCCACAAACTCAAATGCCTCGAATGACCAGGCAGATACAGGAGTGAGGCAAGCTGGCATGAGCATGGCACCATAATGAGGACAAATGGCCTCTGACTCAGGCGCTGTGGTGAGGAGATGAAGACAGAGGTAGAAGCAATGAGTTTTTCAAAAAGCACTCTCCCTCACATTGTTCTCCTGTGAAAATAAAAACCTTAGATCTTTAGAAGATCTGATTTTTCAAAGGAAGTGAGAAATGTAAGTTTCTACATATACTCTCCTTTTAACATTGGCAACTATTTCTTGGTTTTTGTTTTTCAACATTGAGTGGGTCAAGGGGCCACGGGGAAACCTGTGAGCCTTCAATATGAGACCCCAATACAAAGCAGCAAGAATCAAAGAGGAGCCCTACTTTCCTTCTCAAAGCAGTCCTCGTCTAATTGATAGTTTCTATACAGTTGGATAATACAATTATTGTGCCAGTGAAACACTCTAAAACTGGCAGTGATAATATGAAAATGCTTATTTAAATTTAGGCTTAAATATAAACTCTTTGAATCTGCCAAAACGAGATCGATAAGAAGTTTGATGTATCTTTTTCTCACCTTGCCTCCTGCCTATGTTTAGAACCATCACCACCACAACAAAAGCAACAACAGATGAGTTCCAGCAGAAGCTTGAATATTAATTTGCACCACTGCCAAACTAAATCATCAAGTCATAGGATAGAGAAATGCAATAATTAAACAGAAATGTTATATCTTTTTTATGTTGTAGTTGTTTTTGAAATGAAAGCACCATCTGTGGTGTACTTATTATCTTAACAGTAGCAGCAGAATTCCTCTTCTGAGGGAAATGCCTTTGTTTAGGAAAATACCCTGATGGGCCATTTGCATGTACAAAGAGAGACTTCTGGTTTCAGGATGAAAGGAGTTCTCCTGCCATAACTCATGAGGAATGAATAACTCTGATAATCTGGCAAAACCATAACCTCAGAATTGAAAGTGACCTTGAGAATCTAATCCAGTGGTCCGGCAAACTGGCTCTCAGGCCAAATGCAA